CACTGACGTTTTCATGGGCATGTGGGAACAGAGTAGATTGAAAGCGGCCATCAGCAGCCTTATCCTATACCACCGTTGTGTAAACGACTTCTTCATTCACTTCATGCCTCGAGAATAATCCGCCAAGGTATTTAACTACGCTTATGAGGCCATAAGGTTCACCTGCATAGCAGAAACAACGGTGCTTTACATTTTCTTGATGGAACTAAAAAGACTTGTTGGTGGTGTCTTACAACGTCACTTGTCATCATCATCATCATCATCACTCAATACATGTTAGCTGAGAGTGAGAAACACACCTCAGCTAATGTGCTGCAATACGAAAAGATAAGAGACTAAAAGATTAGACCACAAGAAAAGCAAGTAAGATAATGTCAAATATTACATTATGCACTCCGTATGAGATCAGGATCGAAGGGGAATCAAAATGGGAGGGATAGACAAAGAAACTTACAACATAAACGCCATTGGGGTCGGCCCTTCGCCATACCAGCAAGTGTGTCCAACCAAACTTATTTATCATCCTTAGGACCACAGCCAGGTAGTCGGGAAACACTAACTGACGCCAACTTCGCAATGAGGGTTTTCATTTCTCTCGACCAAGTCATTGCTTGGCCTCCTCTCCTCCTATTTCATCTTCACCCCTGGCACGCAAACAACGCACGAAGCAGGAGTCTGTGTGCTGGCATGCGCAACAGGTGGCTCAGCCATCGGATTCTGGTGTATAAAAGAATGGTGCTGAGCAGTTCACTCGCTCTTCCTGAACCAAATACGCGACGCCGAATACGCTCATTACTCAGACGGCGCTCCCACAAAACAAGAGCTAAGCTGCGAAGGCACCGATGATCGAATGTGACTAGCCTCTTTTGGTCGTTCGACCTTATGGGCCAGGTTTCACAACCGTAAGAGAAGGCTGAATGGACGACTGCATTATAAACTCTACACTTCAGTGCGAGAGTGATATCGCGTCTGCGCCACAGGTGGCGGGAATTGGCAAAAACACATCGAGCTTTTGCTATACGGTTCGTAACCTCATTTTCGATCCCACGGGCGCTAATGTAGCTGCCCAGGTACTTGAATTCCTGAACGACTTCTAGCTGATCACCACCAAGGATCAGTGCAGGGGTGGGACCCTGCCAATCTTGGAGAAGAACTTTGCAGTTCGATGGAGCAAAGCATAGCCCAAAACGATTGACAACCAGTGCTACTCCAGCGCTGCTTGGCACGTTTGGGAGTTGTCACAGATTAGGACAATAGCGTCCGCACACTCCAAGTCAAGAAGTCGCTTACCAGGAAGTAACTCCACACCTTATAGGTCGTGTCCAGCGAACGCTGTTTCTATGACTTCGTCAATCGCGAAGTTAAAGAGGAGGGGTGACAGCGGGCATCCTTGTCTCACACTGCCGGAGATATTGAAGGGCAGCGACAGTTTGCCATAAACCCTCATACTGCCAAAACTATGAGCGCGCAGCGCTTTGATAATGTTTACGTGTTTATGAGGCACACCTTTCCTCAGCAGACCGTCCAAAATGGCACTTCGAACCACTGAATCGGAAGCACCTTTGATGTCAAGAAAAACGACAACGGTGGGTCCCCAATAAACATAGCAGTGGTCCAACAATTAACGTAAAGTGAAGATGTGATCGATGTAACCCCGACCTCGACGAAACCCGGCTTGCTCTTCACGAATCTGCCTTTCACGAGTGTCAGCCAGTCTGCGGAGAACGACAGACGCAGACAATTTAGAGGCAATTGAGATCAGACTGACCCTTCTATGATTGCCGCATTCCGAACGGGTCTCCCTTGAGAATTGAGACTATAAAGAAGCGGCTCTAATCCGTCGAAACAGTTCCCTGCTCCCAAAGTTCCACTAGCAATTCGTGTTAATCATCTACTAGAGCAGGTCCCCCGAATTTGAAGAGGGCTAGGGGAATTCTATCTGACTCTGTGGCCTTATGCAATTTCAACAGTCTGATCTCACGTTCAACTTATGCGAGCGAGAGCGAATCCAAGTAGACGGTGAGAGTAAAGGGCACTCATTGCTCGAAAAAGTAAGCGATAACAGATTGGTTAAATTGCCTTACAAAGTGTTCGACCCAAGGCTGCAAGGGTTTTGATAGGTTGTGGATCAGCTGTCCACTAACGTCGCGCATTGTCTCACTAACATCAGACCTTCTGCTACCTGTTTCCTGTATCAGACGGAATAACTAATAATGATTACCAACGGCAGTGACTGCTACCATTTCCGATGCATGCTCAGAACACCAGGCTTCGTGGTCTCTCTTCAGGCTAGCAGGCACTTTCGCCCTGAAAGTTTTGCGAGTCTCGTTGCATCCGCTTCCAGTCGGAATACGTCGGTGAGCATCTATAAGCTCCAGAGACTGTGTAGAGACCCAATGTCCAGGTTGGTAATTTGATTTACCACATGAAGACATGCTTGCTGATAGTAGTTTGGCGATTATACAACCAGTGACCTTCAACGATGGACAGTGAGCGCTTACTCAGCCTGGATGCCAGCGTACTTCGATACGCATTCAGAACACCTAGCTTCGCCAGCTGGTTAGTGTCAATGCGTACACAGCGAGGTTGTGGACGTCCACCGAAACGCACCCGAAGCATTGCACACACAAGAGCGTGATCGGAGTCCACGTTGGTGCTCCAAATCGAGCGACAGTTTTGGACATAGTCGCTATAGTAGTAACTAATCACGATGTGATCGAGTTGCGTCCATGGCTGGCCAGAGGCTGGTTGGCGCCAAGTCAAGCCTCTGCGGGTGCTATGTCAAAAGTTAGGGATCGCAAGAAAGAGACGAACATCTTCACACAGATGTAGCAACCGCCCACGGTTATCATTACGGGAGCCTACACCTTATTGGCCCCCCAGATAAAGTTTATCGGAGGACAATGTTTCGACTCGGGCGTTTAAATCACCAGCAAGCACCACAGTATGCGTGCATGTCTTAACACGAAGAAGATGGTTAAGTTGTGATAGAAAACATCTTTCACCGAGTTGGTGCGGCAGTTTGTGGGGGCGTAGGTCGCAATGACAAACAGGCATCGTTCCTCCACTCCCCTCCCCCGCGACTTCGAAGCCTGGAACGAACCAACTAATCTAGGCGCACATCCGGCTGTTGACTGGGATCCAATCGAGCAGGACAGCTTCAGCCCGGGGAGTCAAAACAATGCTGGTCATCTTGACCGGAATTTGAAGCTGCGTCATCACCAGACAGACGTAAAGGGAATGTGCTGCCATTGCGATGTGGGGATGGCAGAATAAGCACAGAGCTCGAATCTTGCAGGCGGGTTTCCGATAGACAGCAAATGTCGATCGAGAGGGTCTCGAGTGTTCGGGCAAGTGTTGCCTGTTGGCCAATCTGCAGCAAAGTGCGCAAGTTGAGGCATGCCAGTCTAAGCGAGGATCGAGGACTCCAAAGGGAAACGGATGAACTGAGGTTGTCCGCTTGGTTGAACATATACTTGTATACTGGACCGGAGCGACGTCGTGCGATTGAGTGCGAGTTGAAACTAGAAGACAAGTGACTACTGAAGCAAAGTGGGGGAGGGCCAAGAATTGGGTGCTGAATACGGTGGATACAAGTGAAGTTGAAGCGGGACGCTATGGATGAGAAGGCGCAAGTGGGGGAATAAGATATCACTTGTGCAGAAAGTGCACTTGGATGTAGTACACCAACTTTCAAAGCTTCGTGCCACTTAGGATTAAACGAAACTTGATGCTCAACCTAGTGAATTGGGCGGAAAAAATCTATTCGAAGGATATTCTTTTCGAAGAGTTACAGTGCATACGTTCGACGTTGAATAAAAATGACTACCTATAGTTTTATCAAAGCCAATATGGGGAGAAAGAGAGATGTGTCTGAAGTTTTGAAGGTGGAACGGAAATGTAGCTTCCTACAACTGCGGTTTAAAGAGAAAATCGTGGAGGAGATTCTGTCTTGACGTCTTTCGCATACATTCAGGTGTGCCCTCACCGGCAGCCTAAGGATAAGCTACCTGTCCACACCAAATCAATGGGTGTTTCGTGGTGCACCTGTTGCTGTGCAGCAGGGTACCTTGATCGTAAGACAAGGCACTTATCCGAAAGGGTGAAGGAACACCATCCAGTCTGGCTAGGAAATGGTCGAAGTCTCACCAACTCTGCCATCGCCCCGCATCTTGAGGCAAGCCATCAAATCGGTTGATTCGTTCAAAATAACCTATCAAGCCCCAAAAAATCGGTCAAAGTACGTCCGTAAGCGAATAGTAGCCGCCGCAGAAGCCATCGTGATTCGGCTGTATGAACCACGGCTGTGCACACAAAAAAGGTTCACTCGGGCATGAAATCTACGTATCGCAGTTGACCCGTAAGAGTACGTAGAGATTACAGCGGAGACCTGACTGATGGTGTTTGGCATTGTGCGCTACAAGCAAATGGCTGATTGAGGACCCGTGGGGTATGTCTATAAACTTTGTTTTCATGTTATTGAATAAGTCAGATGAGGAATTATCGAAAACATATGTTCGCTTACAATGAACTTTAAATCACAAATGGGCCAATTCGTGCCAGTTGTAGCAGTCTTCCAATGTTTACTGGTCGTGTTATATATATATATATATATATATATATATATATATATATATACTATCAATCTTATTTTGAGGGTTCAGCTTTGCTCTAGCCACACTAGATGGGCGCAGGACGCGGTGATAGCCAAAGGGTCATCTGTTTGCTTCATCTTTTGCTCAATAAAACGCATTGGGAATTGAGTAGCCGGGTGGTGGACAGCTGCAAGCAGGCCAAAGCTAAGCTTGGAGCGACAATTCGAGCAGTGGTCTTCCTACTCATATTGCAAGTCCGAACGCGTCACAGCGTAACTGATCACAGGGATGATTGCACAGCAGGTGATACTGAGAGAACAGATTACACGTGTTTTAAATCCTGTCATAAAAAACACATCCAAAATACTGTTGTTTAACTTTCATAAATGCTGCGACGTAACCAACCTCGTTCGGCGCTGAGACAGACTTCAGGAACTTCGGACATGCGAGACAATTGTGCCAACAAGCTCGGAGAAATGGTGAGCAAATCACATCCGACCAGACCAAGAATTTGATCCACATTCCGGAAGGAAGCACCCATAATCTGATGGCAGATGATCAAGGGACTTAACGGTTATGGACGCGAGGAAAAGAGATATTGTTATGAAACTAGACGGTTCCTGCAAAACACATGAATGGCGAGGATAAGTGCGGTAAACTAGTGTTAAGCCCAGGTGATGGTGCAAAGTGGGGAAACTAGATACTTAAATTTGAAACAACAGTACTAAAAATTGTGTACGAAACAGGTAAAACTACGGTTGCTCGGTTGCGAATTGTCCTTGACTGGCTCCAGCGATGAATCAGGAGTGAGTCAGTCTAGAGGAAGGCTAAAAAACAGTGATCCTAATCGCTTGTTTGAACTGCAGTAGAACATAATAGATATGGCTCCAAAAACTATCGCAAAAGTCGTAAAGATCACATATACAATGCACACGGGACAATCGGGTAGGCACTACAGCACCGGAACAGTTCGTCCCAAGAGGAAGGGGAACTCGTGCCGATATCACGCTGACATATTTAGAGAATGATGATCAACAGTTTCATCAGGATACACGACACAGGGGTTCGGAATCGAATTCATGCTTCAGCCTTTCTACGCCCCACTTCGAACTGTCTGGAGGATGTGCTTCAGAGAAATGTGTTTAATAGTTATACGTGAGCAGCATCGGGGTAAGCGGTGCTCAACTATAGGAACCGACAGACACAACATGGACTGATGATAATATATTAAGATCTCCAACCAGGTGATGACTGCATTTCTGACTCGGCTTCCAAGTGGTCGGACCGGATGGTCATCAAGCTAAAATGCCCCACTGCTTACAGAAGACTCCTGGTGAGTTACAGTACATTCACGTCGAGAACTCCGCCTTTTAGTAGTGGTATCTGGCATATCATGTCGCTTCAGGGAGCCCAAATGAACTGACAGAATTTAGCCCACGTGTAACAACTGGACGTAACTTGATATTAAGTGGTATCGAAGAGTTAATCATATTCTGGCGTTCCGTATCATATAGTTGTGAGCGACTTGTCAGCAGTATCCGTATTAACTTTTTTTATTTGTTTTCACCGCGTATTCGAAAAATCCATGCGTTTTCTCCCACGATTTTGTACATTTTAGTATCAAGGAAGCGTAAGTAATGCTAACGTGATTCAACACACTTTGACACAGTTGTTGAAATAAAATGAACTGAACTGACATTAGAGGCGCGACCAATTGTTCTTATATGATTGGACAAAAGAATCGGCTGTTGTTTCGCTGTCCATGGAGAAGCACGCGGTAGTAACCGCTGCATAAAGCTAGGCGACACTCCAGTCAGTGTAGCTGTAGGTGTTCAAGAACGCGAAGTGTTGGAAATGAAAATCGAATTTCCCCGATAACATAGGTAACGTGGTGCTTATGCACGATACAGAAGCAAACCAAGAAACTAACGGAGCAATTTTTAGTTAAATCGCACATGTTGAGCGTAATAAAAATCCGACTAAGACCAGACGCAAAGGAGAGGGTACGATAACATAGGCCGCTCGATTCAAGCGATATTGCCTATTAGTTTGTACTCACTGGTCTAGAAATCGACAGATGCCATGGTAAACTACAGTAGATCAGGTAAGAAAAGCAATGCCCTCGGAAACAGTGACACGAAAGAGGCAATTTGCTCTTGATGGAAGTAAAAGCATTTATTTAAAAAATGTAGGTTGAGAAGGCGATAAAAATCCTACTTTATGCGGCATGGGGGTAACAAACTCGACTCACTGAAGTGTGATAGCCATGAGACTTGTAATAGCTGTAGATTTGAGTGACCAGTTTGACACCGGGATCCTCCGAGCGTCCGTAGGTTTTCGCCCCATGTTTGCTGTTATGCCAGTCCAGAACGCGGCCAACGAAGGGTGAAATCAGAGTGACCCCGGCCTCAGCACATGCAATTGCCTGTAGCAGACATTTGTGGGCAACAATGGGATTGAAACAATGCGATTGAAAATGGACAAGCTACTCGCAGCCCTTGTAGAGTATAAAACGAAAACATGGAAGAATCCGTGAGTGCAATGGTCAGCGCAGAGTTGTGTCAGACGAACAACTCCGGCACAGACCAGTACGCCAGGAAATAACCTGGTTAGAATATGAATCAAAAAGGTCCAGTGAGGCAGCGGACAAGAACGGAGGCTGGTAATTATGGAACTACTGGTGTGAGTCTGATATCACGGTGATCAGTACAAGTGGCATGAATGCTCTCTTTGAGTGCGGTCATCACGACTGATACATCTCAGTTGGCTAGAAAGGTATCTCCCCTCTACATATATTCAAACAGGTGGGACAATGCTCTGCACGGGATTATCTCGCTATGCTTAAGTGGCGATGGCACAAGAGAATCCGTATCAAAAATTTGGAAACGATTAAGAAAAATGACAGTTCGAAGCGCAGATTCAAATGAAAACTAAATTTTAAAATCCGTGATCCTGCCCGCGCCTCTAGAATGCAAGCAGATCGGGCGCAATTGAGTCAATGAGCCGTTACCAAAAATACACTCTCAGACGTTGTCCCTTATTGTGAACTGAAGATGTCAGCGCTATACCTGTTTATCTAACTGAGACATGAGTTGATGGAACCAATGGCACGGATCGGTTGAAAGAGTCCGCAAGTTACCCGAGGCTTTCGTCGACACCAGCTGAAAAGTATGAGTCCGCCAGGTGTGATATTCAGCCTACAGATTCCATTTAAGGTGGCACCTGATAAGCTATCTTGGCTATGCACTCTTTCTGGAATACCAGTAAGTTCGCCTGCCCTTGGGATACGCAGTGTCCGGTGCGCTGACGACGGATAGCAGTGAAATCAGAGGCTCATGAGTGACGTACGGCAGTTGCAACCCAATTGAACTGAAGCCCGAATTTCTCAGAGTAATTCAGCGAACATTTGGTGTGCATGGCGTCTAATAAGCTTACCTAACCGAAGGCTAAAGTAGCTTCTCAATTGCCGGTCGGAAGGGTTGGTTCATGTCTTTCACGCCTAAATTTAAAGAAAATTAGTACTGCACTAACGATCGATCGGAGTCCATGCACGCGGACCCGAACTATGGCGATTTAGATTATTTGGGTACATCACTGCCCAGTGGACTCCGGGCGACAGCTCTGGGTCTCCTGTATCTGAAGCTGGAATTGCTTAGAAACAGCGGATGATAGACGCATAGTGGTAATATTCAACTGCCATGTATTCGAGAGTAAGCCCAAATACCCACCAAACCCGCCTGAAAAGCTAAGATGACCAGTTTGGGTATTCACACTCCCAGCAACTAAAGCCATGTGTACGCTGGTAGCACGAAGAGGAAGAATGCGTAGTCTGTGTAAAAGCGTGGAGTCGGTGGCATCAGGACTACAGTCGGCTGAGACATAGGCAGCAATCTGGAAGCTAATCCAGCACCGCACCGCGTGCCAAGGTTAACTGATACTGCCAGACGTGATTCAAATTGACGGAAGACGAGTCGATCAGAAAGAATTCAGTTATGGGATCTAGAAAGCTGCTTATTTCAGCATGACCTGTGGCCGATGCATCAGCACGCGTGACCAATAGTGAGAAAATAGACTGGACAAAGATAGTTCGATGAAGGCCAAGAACCCTTATTTCGAATACGCAGCATGCGTTATTAGTGTGCGTGCAAGTGGAATCTCGATTTTGCTATCTTAAGGCACGAACAGTGAACGCCACCGTGTATCAGCGAAAAAACTGCATGAAAAGATGGATGATGCAGCAAAAATATGTAGTTCTAAATATAGTCATTCTCATTGAAACCAGGACAAAAACGTTAAAGGTGGTGTTAGGGTAAGCGTGACTAGCAGCCATGTTAAAACGTGAAATCATAAGCTCGACAGATGGACCAAGATGCAAACACGTCACATCATCGATCTACTAGAACAGTGCACAGTGACAAGTCGTGATATATCATCATCATCATCAACAGCAGTACATCAGCCATTTGAACTGATGCTTCGCAGCCATACAACCATGAGGACCAAGAGCGAGAGAAATGGGACTTACCTGAAAACCTTAATGACCTAAACAAACATTCAGGGCCAAGGCGCCTACACCTTGTGTAGACAACATTCCGTCACAAACAGCTGGCTATCGTCCAAAGATAAGGCGGCATCGGCGAGACAGCTTCCTTGCGGCTTTCACTGCCACGCATCATAATCAGTCATTACCCCGCAGATAACTCAGCATCAAACACACTTTAAACAGGCAATCCGATTAGGAGACGGCAGCAGACGCGCCACTGGTGTCGGTTACGAGCCATGTCCTGTAAAGTCTCGAGCCAAGCACAAGGTGAGTCACGTGGACTCCAGCCCGGAAGGCGAGACGGACCAACGGCACCCAGTTTGGTCGTCAGTGACTTCATTTCCCGTTACCAAGTCAACTTCTGTCCACCGCGAGCCTTGCGCCACCCTACACCTGAGAGACTAAACAAGGCTCTCCTAGGTAAGCAGTGACTAGGCATACGTAGCACGTGCCCAAGCCAACACAACTTATTCAGTGCTATCTGTTGTTCTAGGGAGCTAGCATGATTATCATCACCTAGTACTCGCCTACGCACATCATCGTTGCGGACACGCTGGTGCCATCCGACACCAGCAATGCTTCGCAGACAACAATGATCAAAGACTTGAAGGCGCCTCAGATCTTCAGACCGAATGGGCCAATTTTCACTACCATACAGCAGAACGGCCCTCACTGTGGCCTTGTATACCCGGCCTTTCAGACGAAGGGAAACTCCCTTCTGTCGTCAAAGATGACGCAGGTTCAGGAAGGTAGCTCTGGCTTTTGCAATGCGTGAGCTGACGTCAGTTTCTATGCGCCCATCATTGCTGATGCAGCTGTCAAGATAAGTGAATTGATCAACCACCTCGAGTTCCTCGTTAGCAAGCGTCAAGGAGTCATCAAGTGGCTGGTGGTCCTGCAGCAACACTTTGCACTTTGAAGGTGCGGAATGCATAGCAAATAGTGGGACCACTCTGGACAGGCTATTCTGGGTTGATTAGGCCGCCCCAACATCGTCGAAAAGCAAGACGATATCGTCTGCATAATCTAGATCAACTAACCGTTCACCAGGCAGCACTTCAACGCCTACATCGTGAGATTCCGCAAGGGAACACTCCATGATAGAATCCAAGACGAAATTGGACAAAAATGGGGAAATCGGACAACCCTGACGAACGCCACTTGTGGTCGGAAAGCTATCAGATAGGACACCATAGACCCTGACGCGGCCTGTAGTGTTCGAGTATAGAGCACGAAGGATGTTCGCATATTTCGTGGGAACACCTTTCCGCGCAAGTAATTCGAACAGAATCGATCGATCGAATGAATCGAACGCACTCTTGAAGTCGAGGAACACAGCTATTGTCGGTCTGCGGTATGCGTGGCGCTGCTCTAGCACCTTCCGCAAAGTGAATATATGGTCTACACAGCCACGTCCTGGGCGGAAACCAGCTTGCTCTTCCCTACTCCGAGATTCCCGTTTCAAAGTGAGGCGAGGAACGATAATCGAGGCCAATAATTTTGTCACAATTGGCGTTAGGTTAATACCCCTGTGGTTCGCACAGTCTGTGCGACTGCCCTTTTTGTATATTGCCACTATAATCGATTCGCTCCAATTAGCCGGGACGCTCTCTTCTTTCCAGACACATTCGAATAAGGAGGTCAGTGCTTTGCAGAGGACCTCACCTCCATCTTTAAATAGTGCAGGTGGGAGGGAATCCGGGCCAGCGGCACGAAAACGATGACGTCGTGATATATGGAGGGGTTATGTAGGCCCAGACAGGTACCGTAAGATAGTAAATGCTGATGTAATGATACTATCAGTAGAATAGGTGCGATTCCCCTGCGCTGTGAGCTTGTCGTTTGCCCCATATGATCCCTGCACTTTATCCTCTCAGTGGGCCAAGTATTCCAAAACCGTCAACCATTTCAATGTGAACTGACGTGACCAGTTTAACGCACTTCAAATGACCTCCGTACCACACATCTAAACGACTGTTGTTTCAAGCTATGCACTATCCTGAGCTAACGACTACTAACCGTCGTCCTTGTGTTCTGCTCTCCCTCGGTACATGTATTAATGGTTGACTATTTCACCCCGAATAGTTGTCGCTTCGGTGACCTGACATGTTTATCAGTTGCGGTGTGATTTATCGCATTCAGCACTGATCAACAGATGCACTGTAATCGTTGCTCATAAGCGACTGTACCGAATTGTGCTTGTAAAGCTAACAAATGGGCCACCAGCCATGATGCATTGACCGCTGTTCGCTGGCAGTATTCCTGGTGTTTCACCGTGGTGCCTGCGCATTGGAACAAAGGAGCGACGCGGACTGTCCGTTGCATGAATAGGAAGCGCCATAGCTGAGCTGCGTAGTAGCATGGTTTTGTCATTTATCTCTCAACCGCACAGATACTCATTGCCCGTATGTTTGGAGTCGAAAACGGAGGAGGGATGTGCTGCTCAGATTTCCAAGAGTTTTGTCGCTTACACAGGAAGTTGTGAGCTAGGCAAATCAGCCGCCAGACACCAAGGAATAGTGTTCGGCATTTCAGTGCAAATGATGAGTCGCCATAATAATAGGAGCACTTAGGAACAATAAAGAGAGGAAATGGAAATGAAAACAGAAGTATGGAGTATGAAAGCAATGAGTCGTCGGTTGGAGTGGTTAATATAGAGTGTAAAGACATCGAGAGCAAGAGCGGCTTTGTCTCTGTAACAGCGCAATGCCATGAAGGGGAAGCAACTATCTGTGTGACTGATACTGTGGGCTTAATTCCGGAGGACGGTGTGTATTAGCAAAACTACATTTCATTTCTTAACGTCTCTTCGACACATTATCAAGGACCCCCTCCGCAATTGCACTCAAACAGATGCAGTGATGGTGAACAATACACGCTGCGGTAGACAGTTGACGCGAGTGTCCGAATAATGCGATGTATCCGACGCAGGACTGGACAGCTTGGAGTTGAATACTGACTGAAGGAGCTAGGAATTACAAGCCCGGTGATCTAAGTAGATACCAGCGAGGTTAGACCGGAATTGGAGACTAAGGACGACCGCTCTTCAGGGTTCTCAATATGCAGTGGTTGTAGCTCTAATTGATATACACTGACAGCGCAGAAACGTCATACATTACATATTTGACAAGCTGACATTCCACCGTCCCCATAGACGAGTAAAGCTTAATCCATTTTATACTGGCGTTCTTTAGACATTTTTTAAAATGTGAGTTAAGGTCTTGAAGTAAAGAAGCATTTATAATTTTACTGATTGAACTTTCAGAAAAGACACTAAACTATATTATTCTGAAGTCATTTTACCTTATCCATGTTTACCACAATTAGTTTAATGCTTAAATCACATTTTAGGACGTGTCCTTTAAAAAGGACGCCATCAGAAAATTGGTTAACCCATTGATATAAATAGCTATACGTGTGGAATGATCCACCACGTCCATGGGATGTCCAATGACAATCAACACTCAGAGACAAGTACTGGAATAGTATTTTAAAATGAAGATGACTGTCGCATCAGGAAAAGTATTCAAGAGTACCCAAAAGTAGCGGTAATCTGGCAGAGGTAAACAGGACAAGAAGAGCAATACACCGGATTTTGTGCTAGAGCCTTACAACTGTTAAACCTCTCTAATTAGTGTCTTGCTCGCTGTCACGTGAACAGAACAGTTAAGATCAAGTAAGTCTGCATGCAGTGTGTACTAACGCCCGATACTAACTAATGCTAATAATAATAACAACAATAATAATAGGAAGTAGGCGGGTCAGTCCGGTCCAGTTAAGCGACGGTGGAGAAAATGAGGGAAAAGAAGGCGGGGAAAACAAAACGAGTAAAATTAATAGGCCTGGGGAGCCAATAGACAAAAGGTGAGGGATTGAATGCAGTACACTGTGCGTCGCTTTTAACTTTCGAAGGAGAACACGGTGGTTTTTCGGAGGCACCGAAAACAATGGACAGGTATCCTTTATCGTGTTAGACTGAGAACTCAGGGCGATTACGGAGGGTGGTACTCAGAAAGCTGGGTCACAGAATATCTTAAATTTCACAAACTTCGGCCAGTTAACATCGAAGGTTTGCAAACGTGCAGAAAATATGGTACTCATTACATCATGTAAGTGCAGTAATCTAGTACACATGTTCTAGCGTCCTAAAAATGGCAACGTAGGCAAAAATTGGCCATATGGTGTAAATAGAAAGGAGACAGAAGCATCCATTTACTTGACACAATGAAAACATCAGCGTAAGATTGCAATGGATCCCATGCTTAGTTTCCAGGATGTTTCCGGCCTGAATACCTTCCCAAGTAGAGCTCAACTTGATCAAAACCCGATCCTTGGAAACACCCATTTCGTCGTACATGGCAACTAAACGACGTGCGGTCTGTACTTGTTGATCTCTGTCAAAAGAAAGGCTAATGAAACGTGTAAAAGCATTAAAAATTCGTTTACCGTGCATCCACTTCAGTTGAAACACGACCCGGAATTATCTTCAAGATTTCAGTGCCAAACAGAACAAACACACGGTCAAATGCAGTTTCTATTTGGGCGTCTAAAGTTCTGATGGGAGGTCAAATTGTGCAACCTATTGAACAGCTTACTTCTCTTTCTGTGCATATTTGACTGCTTTATCTATTAACTGAGAGTATTCGGGAAGCTTGGAAGCCGATAAAATTAATGTGGGATTGGTGGTTGCATCGATTGGTTCGTATTCTTTTATCGCTAAAAATCGCAGAACGCAAAAGCATGTCAAAGCGGATGTCAGAACCAACTTCCAAAGTCGCCACTGTCAGCGACCACTGTTGTGTACTTCTTTAAGTGATCTAAGGTGGACGACATCACCTAGAAAAAGAACACAATTAGATCAGGAAAGGAGCAAATTTGAAGAGAGATTGTGGAAAACGATGAAGCCGTAGGCTAACTGAGCTATAAGCCATCTGTCGGGAAATTAGCTTCTTTACAATGTAAGGTGAAATCTAACACATAGGTAGCCGGTTCGTAGCCGTACGGATCACAAGCCTGCCTTGTAATCTGAGGAATCGGGTTCAAGCTTGCAAAGGGGCAGGGCGACCCACGCACGTACACGTGTTCCTGGTGGTGGTTGCGCGAAGCGAAGCGTCGGTATCGCTTACCGGATGCACAGCAGTGCATCAGAGACGTTCAAGTAAACATACGCTTTTTAACGCCGCTGCGCAAACGATCACAAGAAGATCCGCACAAAGTAGTCCATTCGGGGTGGGATTCATGGTGTTTGTCTTATGAGCACCGCCTCAGTCCAATTGGCTGTGCGAACCGTCGGCCTCTGTGTTGCTATAGTTACGGCCTCACTCCGGTTGGCTGCTCGACCCCGATTCCGGATTTGCTGACAAAAACAACAATGTGTATTTGTCGAATGACAAGGCACAAAGTAGAGCATGCGGGTTACATTTATACGTACTGGGCGACCTTCTTGAACGTCCCTCGCTCCTTCTCCTTCCTCACTTGCCAATAATAGTATCACAAACCACAGGAACATTCTTTTCATCGATAAACGACACTGTTTGAAGAACTGTTGGCAGAATCCGTTGGTTCTTGTCGAAAACAAGCGCCACCGGTCGATTTCTTAGGAGGTGCTCCTCCAAACAGCCCGTACACCAGTGGTGTACGATTTTAGCCTGGGATTGACTTAGAACGGCATGACGGGGACTATGTATCGGTCTGTCCATCTTCTGGCCGACATTCACGGGTAACACAGGTTGTAGTATATTCATGTTGAGGAGTTACAAAAGTCTCCGATAACTGGAATTCATCCAAGAGTATTCTCAAAAGAGTCGTCCAGACATCTTCAATTGTATTTGGCGAAACACATCTGAGCCGGTTGATATGGAGGAGCCACCCAATGCTGGACATGTTCTGGAGTGAGTCCCTTGTTTTCTTATCTAGGGAGTTGCATAAAGGCTGGTGGTGGTGTGGCTGGCTAACCGAACAACCTCCGCGTGGTGCCAGCTGGGCGGTTCAGGAATTGCCCGTTTCGGTGAATGGTTCGGTGACATTGTTCCACAACGTGGTGGGTTTTCGGCTGGTAAGCGTTCTCCTTATAAAAACCCGCATATATCTGCTAAACAAGACTATGACGTGGCGGATGTGACTGGCCACTAAATAAAGTCACTGCCCCTTGCCTCTCTCTGAGTGGCATTGTAATTCAAGGGTGTGTTGGGCCTTTGGCCCTATGCGGTCCTAAAGGCGATTGAACCACTTATTTGGTCACCGGCTCCCAACGGGTTGCGATACCCTCATATCTCCCAGTTGCCTTGTAGGTTAGATCCTTGACCAAAAGCTCGGGGCGGTGGTGCCCTAAGACAACCAACCTACCTCGGCCTAGGCAACCGGGTAGTATCTCGCCTACTGACGAACCATGAACCTACAACTACAACCATTCACAAGCTTTCTTGCTGCTACGATGCTATTCACTCATGTTACCAAGTCAACTTCACAAGCAAACGCCACCATTTTACCTACCCTTCCCTTGTACCATTCACATCCATTTTTACCTGATTCCTCTACGGCGATCAACCCCACCTCCACCGATGAACCTGTTCCCGTGACATCTGCCAACTCAACCACACAGTGCTCAACAGAGAGCTGTCAGCCCCGAAGTCTCCCATTTTCGCTCCTGCAACCCGGAACGCAGTTCAAACTTTCATCCTTCAACGTACGCACATTACTGCAGATCGGTCAGCAAGCTAGACTTGCACGCATGCTAGAGACCCTTAGAATTGATATCTGCTGCCTGAATGAAAAACGACTCCAGAACTCTAACTCAGTCTAGCAGGTGGCGTCACCGCTACACCCACGCACCCGCTTCCATCTCCGCCTCTCTGGTGACGCCGAGTCTGCCGCATCTGGGCAAGCTGGTGTTGAAATTGCCCTCAGTGCTAGAGCCGAGACTGCTCTGATTGACTGGATTCTGATCAATAGTCGCCTTGTGCGATGAGGCTCCATGGCTCTTGTAAAGTTAGCAGATGTCGTGTCGAAAAGCGTGCTCTTCGTGATCTCTGCCTACGCGCCCACTGACAGTAGATCGGACACAGTCAAAGACCAGTTCTACCAGAACCTTCATGAGCTGCTCCATAGGGCTCCTAAGACAGACATCAATGTTTTGGCAGGAGACTCCAACACGCGTGTCGGTCGTCTGCTGCCATGTGAGTGCCACCTCGGGGGACCGCATGGATCTGATCTTCGCTCAGACAACGGAGACTGCCTAGTCTGTGTGCTGATCATCAGCTTTTCCTCTCCAGCATGAGCTTCCGTCATCCTGGACGTCAGTACGCCATTTGGCGCCCCATCATCAACCCAGCGCTGGTCACAGATTGACCACATAGCCTTAAGTCGCAGGTGGCGCGGCAGCGTACGCGACTGCCGATTATTTTGGTCAACATGTGTCGATACCGATCATACACTAGTATGTGCGACCGTTTGCATGCGTTTCGGTGGTTTACCTATGTCCAAACACACCCGACTGAACAGTTACAAGTTGGAGGACCCAATGGTTGTTGTTTTCCGCTGATAGTACGGATAACCAATGCAGCCACTCTGGTCACGATACAGCCACCTTCCAAATCAGAAGACAAAAGCCTCTGGCGGAACTTGTATGGAGCACTCGGGAGACAGCATGTACAAGCATAATATGTGGTCAAAATAAACAGTTCATGAGAGAAAGAGCTAAATGAAAAATCCTGACGATAGCAACTACTAGATGCGCAAAAACTCGCTTGTTGGCTGATCAAGTAGTGTGCTTACTGGAGGGCTTCAAGGAAGGTCATTATGATTGGTCCAGTTAAAGAGAAAACGATACCATTGGCTTACTCTCATTGGCTAGCTAATCGGCTACAAGCAACATACCACCAACCTTCTCCGGGCTGCTCCAGACAGAAAGAGTTAGTTTCGATGGTTGCTATGGATGGGCCTCGGTAACAATGGTGAAGGAGTATCAACAAAGGCTTCATGAGAATATCGCTCTCCCACTCTGGATGTTAACCAACACTGGTCAAGTCTGCAACAAGCCTTGCTGTCGGCCGGTTTGTCTAGCTGTGGCCTCACCCGCTCCACTCCCAAAAGCTGGATCGCGGGAAGATCTTCGGAATTGCTGAATCGCCGACGGGTGTTGCCTGCTGGCGCAAAGCACAACGAACATCGCCGGTGTATTACGCAACAGTTGAAGGCAAATCTTCGCTCTGATTGTGAATCTTGGTGATCAAAAGCTGATGAAATGGAAGCCGCTGCAACAGCTGACAAGTTTCGCCGCATATTTTGCATCATCAGGGCCACCGGTTGCAATTCCCACGCTATAAGCCAAACGGTTTGCAAAGCAGACAGCACGGAGATCACCAACCTTCACAAGCGATTGGGTCGCTGGGCAGAGCATCTCGCTCTTCAATTCAACCACCCAACACAGCCCTCTGTGGCACCTCCAGCCCCAATGGATGATGCTTGGCCTGTCACTACAACCTCTCCCCCCTCAATGAAGCACAGATACGAGATGCAATCCAATCTTTAAAACGCCACAAGGCTCCGGGTCCCGACAGCCTACCACCGGTTCTATTCAAAAATGGCGGGAGTGTACTTGTCAGCGAAATCCTATCGCTGTTCACGAAAGTTTGGACTGAGGAGGTTCCGAACTCATGGGGAGAATGGTTCAATATTCCGCTCACAAGAAAGGTTCCCACGACGATTGCTGTAACTACGACGGAATCTCGTTAATCTCTGTCGTATCCAAAATCTTCGTGTCGGTCCTACTTCGCAGGATTTCAACGACTAGAGTGGAGTTTTCATGAAAAGGAAAAGCCGGATTTGGTCCAGTCCGCGGCTGCATCGACCAAATCTTCACGCACCGTCAACTCCTCGAACTCCGTCACATCCAATGGCGGCAACAATGGTAGATAGAACTGCGTTGTGGAACTGTTTACTGAAGAAAGGTGTGCTCGACAAGTTTGTAATCATCTTGAAAGAAGTTTACAGTCACACGTCGGGCAAAGTCAGGGCTTACGGCACGCTCTCGTCTTTGTTTGCCGTGACCAGCAGTGTTTGCCAAGGTTGCCCTATTTCACCTTTGCTCTATAATTATGCCATCGAATATGTCGTCCAAAGAGCACCGGAAGGAGTCTAGAACTGCGGTGTTGAGCTTCTCCCTGAAAACAGAGTCACGTGATTGTACTACTCCGATGATATCGCCTGGCTGGGGGACGACCGACAAACGTCCAAAGCGCTTTGGACCGGTTAGCTACGGAGCCGTCTAAATACAGCTTATACTCCACTCCGGGAAAATGTAAAACGCTGCTCGACGACTGGCAGGTGTCTGAACCCGCGCTCATCATTGATGGACATGTTCTGGAGCGAGTCCCTTGTTTTACTTAATTAGGGAGTTGCATCACGACTGGAGGCGGAGTTGAAGATGAAGTCGCACAACGGATTGTCAAGGCCCCCTTGCATTCATCAAATTGAGACACCTATGCCGTCGTCGCGATGTGTCTCAAGCTCAAAGACAGGGTGTACAATGCTTCCATCAGTGTAGTACTCTTGTACGGCTGTGAGACGGCCTATTCGCTCGGAAGACGAAGCGGCTGTCAGTCTTTGACAATCGCTTTCTACGAAGGATTGCTCGAGTGTGGTGGCAATGTTACGTAAGCAACGCAGAGGTCCGAGACCGAGTGCTTAGAGCGAGTAGTGCCGGTCTTCAGAACCTTATTCTCCAACACCGCATGCGTTGGCTCGGAAACGTATCGCGCATACAGGGCCTATCGCCTTTCCCGCCGAGAATTATTAGCGCTCAACGGAAGCGATTGGAAAAAGTGTAGAGGTTGACAACCAATGACGTGGATAAGGAGCATGAGGAATGCAACCTCAAGCTCGGCATCCGTCGGATGGGTCCGCCTTTCAGGATGGGACCACGCGATTCGGACTACCAGTGATTAGATACGTTAGAGGATATGGCGCCCAACCGGCATCAGTGGAGACAGTGCTCTTCAACCTTGGAATATATTAGTTAACGTCTCATGTAACATAAACTACACAACACACAAAAATCCCAAGGTGACGGGTGCAAAACCGAAAAACACGTTTCCTTCACATTATATTTCATTCCTCACCTTTATTTTGCCATGGTTCTGATGGCACATTAACTGTAACCAGACTATATATATATATATATATATATATATATATATATATATATATATATATATATATATATATATATATATATATATATATATATATATATATATATATATATATATATATATATATATATATATATATATATATATATATATATATATATATATACAGGCGGGAGAGCCTACGGTTCGCTGAGGCTGGCGTTGTCTAGATCCTGACAGATGATCTACTCACTGCTGCCACGCTTGCGCCATTGGCTCATGTCTTGGACCCCTCCTCGTGGCGACCGCTGGGTGGGAGTTGGGTTCCGCCCTTCTCCCTGCTAAGATCCAGGACACCAATCCGCATGAGTCAGTGAACTGACCATGTGCTAGACCAGCTGCCTTTCATGTATACATTTACTCGAAGGCCTTGGCTGAGGACCCGAGTCGTTCTCCTGTCAGATGTCGGCGCCCTGCCAGTATCCTAGTCCATCCTCTTCGGAGGTTAGGAAGTGGTCGATGGCCCACTTCCCGTAAAACCTAGCCATGGGAGACAACAGGTCCACGGGTTATAAACTCACAGCTCGATTGGCGTAGAGCACGAGTGTCACACATTGTCACTGAAGGTGGGATGACACCTCCGGGTGTTCAATGGATTGTTACTGCCTGCCTCAAGCCAACAGCCCCTGGTCAAATTGGTGCAAACACGCCAAAACCCACCTGCGTCTGGCCGTGGTAGCAGGTGTATCCTAGTACCGTCACAAAACATATATAAATCGTTCCAGTACCTCCAAGGCTGCATGTGACGGCCGTCAAGCAGATCCCAATCTGTCTCTGCAATCACATTCTTGAGCTGGATCTGCTCCCCACTGCCTTGTGAGTCAGGCTATTCATCCAAAGGCTCCGGTCGGAGTCCCTCAAGCAAACCTCCAAACCACCCACTGCCTTGTGGGTCAGGCTACTGAGCCAAAGGCTCCGGGTGGAGTCCCTCAAGCAAACCTCCAAATCACCCACTGCCCTGTGGGTAAGGCTATTGAGCCAAAAGCTCCGGGTGGAGTCTCTCAAGCAAACCGAAGCCCAACGACCACCTCGCGTGCGATTGCCCACCAATGCAATCGTTTGCCTGCGCGAAAAAGCACTCAGCATCGGGTGCTGGAACGTGCGCACCCTACTGGACCGGAAGTTCAGTGAGCGCCCGGAGCGACGCACTGCGCTGGTCGCAATGGAGCTGGCGCGCTACCACATCGATATTGCAGCGCTCAGTGAAACCCGGCTCGCTGAGCAAGGTAAGTTGCATGAAACAGGTGCTGGCTACACATTCTACTGGGTGGGCAACGCCGCCTCAGCACCACGTGATCATGGAGTCGGATTTGCAATACCCGATCGTCT